CTCTCGCGACTCGCCTCGATCGCCTTGTCCGGATAAACGTTTTCTTCTGCCGTTTCGGTCATCTTGGATCGTCGATCGTGCGAGCTTGATCGAGCCAGGTAGAGTCTCTTCTTTTCAACGTTTCCTTTTTCGTCAATTACACTGATTTTTCAGTATTCTGGCATCAGTCTTGTTTTAAAAGTTTACTGGAAGTCGGTAGATTAGAGAATATCTGTGATTCGATATTTTATCACGATCAGATCTTACCGACGAGAGGAGAAACTTGACAAAATTTTATCATATATTTTCTACCATCTTTGTTTCTCCTTATTCGGTTTAAAATATTTAATCAGAATTACGTAACACTCTATACGATATAACTTTACTTAGAAGAAAAAGAACACGAGAAACTTGAAATATTACAACATATCTTAAAAAATGGAAAAACGCTACATGGGAAATTGTAACTGAGAAAAACAGTTATTTGAACTATACAAAAGAATATCACTCGGATCTTTAGAAAAGGAAGGAACAAAACGATCACCGAGAGTTAATGCAAAATGATGGAATTTAAAGTAAAAGAATTCGCCAACAAAATAGCCGGACGATTTTAAAAAAACAGAGAGAGGTTTAACCGAAACACGATCTGGCTTGTTCAAGCTATCCGAAAGCCTTTCAACATCGCTGGAATCGCGGGTTTGGCTCGTTAAATTCCGGCACGATCGATGGCTCTCGAGTCTCCGTTTCAGCAACGAAACGATCTCGTTTTATCCACGTTCGTCGCGCCACGTCTTTCAATTGCACGTTCCAAGCCCGTGTACTAGCATCCGCGTTCCGTTCCAAGCGACGATGCATCGAAACGCAAGAGGACAGGATCGTCACGGTGTCGGAGGTTGGATTTTTCGCCGCGGTTCAACGCGACTGGCGACTTCCGGCAAGTCGAACAATTGTAATATAAGTATGTATCTAGTCTGTCAACTTGTCGATAAGAAACTGCTCGTGGAACGATTATTAAGAATATTTTGTCGATGAGCGCAGGACAAACACAGTTCTGTCCTTCCCTCTGTTTCTATAGCTGTCTGGCTCACTTTATGTCTTTCTATCGTTTCGTTTATACGCTTTTCTAAATACGTGACACGAAACTTGTTTCTACCGTTAACACAAATTTTAATTTCTTTCTTTTCCTTAGTCTTCTTTCTAATCGGGAACGTTGCAAACACGAAACGAGGAATCTCAAAGAAAAATGTAAATGTAACCGCTATGAGATTGTAACTAATTGTTAGATACACCGTAAGACACAGGCAGGGTTCCTACGACATCATTCTACCTGTTGTGATAAGTATTTAAACGATTAATTTTATTAAACGAACGGTATAGTTACGAAATACCGGCTCTCTCCTCTCCTTCGCATTGTATATCTCTCCACCTAATCTATAGACGTCAATTAAGGAAAATGGAAAGCAAAGCACACCGCTTGTCGCGTCGTGTTTTGTACGGACGTTTGTGATCTGAGATTCACGCAGACTATTGTACAGCTGATCGTTTCGTAATCGCTAATAATGATCGTTGAACCATAACGCAACAGTCCACGTCGTTCAACATCCCATCTCTCACGCATCATCGTCCCTTTCCACGCGTGTTTTTGTCCTGAATCTTACAAATATTGAGTTGCAGACATCAAAAAATAATCAAATTTCAAGGGTAGAAAAAATCAGCCATCCATCGTTCAACGCTTCGAGCGAAAATCGACGATACTTCGGATGTAACAACAAAGATGAAAAGTTAAAAAAATATCGAACGATCAACGAAATATCTTCGAATAAGACCGCGAATATTCATGATCCCGTGGACGACTTAACACACCGTGGAACATGTCGCTTCTCGGCAAAGTCAACCGACGTTTTCCCACTATAACGCCTATGTAACCGAGTCGTCGTGAAGTGGAAAGTGCTCGATAGACCCTCGTCGATTGTCACCGCCGTACCCGGTTCGTATTGTACTCTGTGTTCTATCGTTTAATCGTTTCCTGCGTTCTTGTTGAACATTCTGAAATGCGTTGATTTTGAATTTCCTGAAAGCCAGAAGTAGCTGTGAAATGCGCGACTTCGTTCAGTGAGACTGTTCCCGGAGTGGAGACCAGAAAGTTTCGAAGGCTACAGACGAGAAAAAAGTTTCATGGTTACGCTTTTACTAGACGTAATTTCATTTCCTTCTCGTGTTTGGAAACATAAAAATTCCAACTGGGATCGTGAATTTAATTTCAAGTTACACACATCCCGATGTAAAAGTAATCCCGATGAGTATGTATAGCCACTAAAAAATACCACAATGGAAACGGGAATATGAAAGAGGGTTAACCAGACATCCCTCAGATATTCCCAACAATTCCTCCCGATCAATGTCTCCATCCCGCGATCGTCTCCAAAGACAGATAAACCCAGACCGTTCGCGCAAACACGATCAAAGAGTATAGAGGGGCGGAACAGGGCGGTTTCGCGAGGATATCCGGCGAACGGGCGACACAGTTTTAGCGCTGTGTAGAATGGCGATGCTGTGTCAGGTGGTTCACAGGCACGTTCAGCCGATTCATCGTCGCTTTCGAGGAGAAAACGTCGAGGCGCCATTGGTGGATGTCGACCACGAGGGAGCAGGAACGACAATGCGTTCGTACCGCCGTGTTTCTCTGCATCTGCACACACCGCACAGCATCCAGAGTAAGTACGCGCACGTAAGTACGTGCACTTCAATCATCGTTCTCACAGGCCGTCGCGCGCCATCGCGCCTTCGCCTCTTTTTCGCCTCTGATCTCTCTTTCTCTGCGAGAACCTTTCATCCACCGAACGATTACATCCTCCACCTCCAACCTCCCAAACGGCCTCCGTGTCCCTCGTTTTAGTTTTATTCCGCTTGCACACGTTGCCCTTTTCTCTGCTCCGCGCCCTCTTTACCCGACGTTTACCGTTTTCCTTTCTGCGATACCCGGTGTCCTTTCGCGCCTCAAACCAACCAAGGACTCGATTATATCGAGGCTACTGTCTGCGTATCTCGATCTGCATCCTTGCGATTCCTGTCTCCAACCTTCCCTCTCGACCAGCATCCTCCCGAAGATGTGTTCCACGAATGATAAATCGTTTTACACGTAGATCGCCGATGTTTATGCATTTGTAGGAAGTTTAAAGGTGGACAAATCTTGCGTATAGAATGTCGAAAGTATAATACTCGTTATAGTATTCAGTGGGAAAAACATTTTTATATGTAAGTTGTACGTTTTTAATTTATATTTGTAGAGATACGAATTTGCATAAATATCGGCGATCTATTCATATGATTTTCACGAGGGTATCGGTTCGGTAAGTAAATTGGTTAGGAGCAACATGTTGAGTGGAAGGAAGGACTCGATCGTATCGAGGTGTCCGAATTCGCAGGTTTGTCTGCGGTCTCGTTTGAGTTTCCACTACCAAGCTGTTTGGTAAGTGTCCTTTCGACGTGTTCAACTATCTCTATGAGAATTGGGCGATATAGCGAAACGGTTGTTTGGCCAATTCTCGGAGAAGTTCCTTGGATGGGCGTTGAAGCTTGGATCGTACATGTAGTATAATTTAAACTCGACGAGTTCTGATACTCTTTTTTAGTTTTATCGACTTAAGAATCTATAAGCAGAATTTTGTTTTGAAAGAAAAGATTGTAGCGGACTACGTCTGTTTGGTACGCAAATGCATCGGAAAAATGGTCGTTTAGAGAAACATCGATGGAAGCACGTTGAAGAATTCGAGCAAATGGTATTCGTGACGCAACGACGTCGAAGATATTAGCTCCGCATGGCCGAGAACCGTCGCCGATGGATTAAATGCAGTTCGATTGATTAAACACGATTTATATTGGCGTTAATAAGCGATGGCATTGAATATTTAAAGCGACTCATTAACTCGGTAATTGCGATGAAACGACGTAGCCCGCGAGGAGCGTTGATCGATCGATTTCAATTTCGTTCCTTTTTGTTCCGTCGTTACCTCCGTTGCGGAACAACGTTTCCCTATCGCTAACAAGCCGATCGGAAAATTCAGCCGTTCGTCGATATCGCTTCTGGAGTTCGGATGAAAAAAAGAAGAGGGAAAAAGCTGGACGAGGAGGAGGAGGAGGAGTCGGACTCGGAAAAAAACTATTTCTTCCCATTGGATGCTGCGTCGTCAAATGACAGGAAATTTTTTCGATTTAATGAGACTGCTTTAACATCAGAATCGTAACCTCGACGGAATATCCCTCGTGAACCAGTCGAAATAAATTTGTATAAATATACAAATAATGGGAATTGGTGTATTCGAAATTCAAGAAACTAGAGATACTTCCT